CGGTGGCTCTCAGGGGGACGGCGGGCGCATCGGCCCCTACACGCCTCGTCTCTTTGCTAGGCTGGCGGTAAAGCTGGGAAGGACTCTGGAAAGACCAAGACCAAAGCAGTGTCTCGTTCTCAGCGGGCTGGACTGCAGGTGAGCAAGGAGTGGGGCACGGGTGAATGACTTTCAGGTTGGCCTTCCATCTCGTGGTCGGCTGTACCTCGTGAAACCTGCGCTGTCTGCCATCGGTTTGTTGTCCAGAATGGTGTAAGGATCTGTTTGATCCTTGAGCACGTTAATGTATGGCTTCACTATTTTTTAGACCTTTTGCATATCTGTGCAGGAAGGGAGAGAGTTCCCTAGTGGCTGTTGCTACTGCTTGTGGTTAGAATAGTGAAGTTGCTGCTGTGAACTTGGCATACTGTGTCCTTAGGTGGATTCTCAAGTGTCGAAATATAGTCTGTACTTCTGCCATGGGGGTTCTATTGCTGAGCATGTGGTTTAGAGTAGTGGCTTTCTCTTTCTGCCTCTGTCACAGCGTATTCATACTTCTGCTATTTTCCAGTTCCCTGTTGGCCGCATCCACAGGCACCTGAAGTCTAGGACTACCAGCCATGGGCGTGTAGGAGCCACAGCTGCTGTGTATAGCGCTGCAATCCTGGAGTACTTGACAGCTGAGGTAAAGCTCCTGCAAGGGGTGCAAGTTGGTCGATTCTAAAATGGTGTAACGACTGGAGCCTACTGTCTTGTGCCAGTTTGGACTGGGCTGTGAACTCTTTGCTTTGAGCCAATTTGAAGTGTGTGCATCATCAGGAGACCATGAAATATGGATGGGACCTCTTGCTCCGCATTTTGTGCAGATCAAATTGCTGTGACTTACAGGAAAGGTGGTAGTGTGCAGTATTTTATAAATGTGCCATTACAGCCTGTCATGTCTGATGTAAAACACTTACTCTGTTCTTGGCGAAAACTAAATGCAGAGCTCAAAGGAGGAGCTCTTTCAGAAGAAGCAGTTTGCTGTCACCAGTAGCGTATCTGGCGTAGAGAATAAAGCGGCTAAGGCAGTGTGGTTGATCTCGCTCGGTTTGTGTAACTTGGTTTAAAAATGGTCTTGTCCTCAGGTTCTTGAGCTGGCAGGAAACGCATCCAAAGACTTGAAGGTGAAACGTATCACTCCCCGTCACTTACAGCTTGCAATTAGAGGAGACGAAGAATTGGATTCTCTCATTAAGGCAACAATTGCTGGTGGTGGTATGTAAATTGCCTGCTGACTGTTTGTGAGGAGCAAGGGCTCTGACAGACCAGAGGCTGCTTCTTGCTGTCCTTGTATTTGAAGTGCAAAATCATTGAAGAGAAATAATGTGGTCTTAATTGTTGCTCTTTCTTAGGTGTAATACCGCATATCCACAAGTCTCTCATTGGAAAGAAAGGACAACAGAAAACTGTCTAAAGGATACCAGGATTCCTTGTTATCTCAGGACTCTTAAGTACTTAATTGTCCAGTGTTGGTGATTCCAGTGGACTGTATCTGTGAAACACAATTTTGCCTTTTTGTAACTTTGAGAAGCTAAAGCTCCCTCGAGCTTTCTAACAAACCAAATTTCTGCATTGAAGTCTTAACCGTATTTAAGTGTTACCATGGCTTCAAAGAAGCTATTGTATTTGTCACTTGTTTTGATTGAGCTGACTGTTTTTAGATTGGCTTAAGTAAAGGAAACGTTTGGTTTTGTACAGACTTTTCATCCACTAGAGTGGAAATATTCAATAAATGTTATATCAAGACCGATTGTTGCTTGTTCAGTAACTGAAAAATGTCTGGTCTGGACCATGCAGCTCTTGGAATTGTTCTGAGGCTGTGCAGCTTGGACAGTTGGGAGTGTCCAGAAGCACAGCTGCAGAGCGCTGCGCGCAGTGACACAGCACACGGGTGTTATCCCCCGAGGCTTCGTTCCTGCGAAGGGAGCTGCTGGTGCAGCCCGGCAGTTGCCTTCAGCGGGGCCAGCGTAAGGCTGGCACTGGCTGGGGCCAGTTTGACTTGACATCAGCCTTCACAGAGGGAAGGGATCCTTCCTGGAGAAGGAGGAAGGTGAGCTGAATGGATGTTGAAAATCCCCAAATTCAGTGGACTTTCCTTGTGCTAGAGCCTGACTCCTCACTGTTTCTTGTAAAAGCCACCTATAAAAGCAGAGGCTGTGCTGTGGCAGCTCTGTGAGGGATCTAAACCCTGCTGCCACTGTAGGAGCCAGCTGGCTCTGTGCTGGGGCGGTACTTCTACAGGCAGGCTTTCCCCCTGCAGGCCGTGGGGGTCTGCCATGGGGAGCCCCGGCTGGCGGTTGGCCCGAGGGCCAGTAGCACAACTGGAGTTTGAGTGTTGAAGTTAGGGCTGTGACTGGTGCCATGCAGTAGAAGCAGATGAAAGGGGCTTAGTCACCTCTTCAGCTGCGCTGCCCAGTGCTCTGCAAACTCGTTTTTCACAGCGGCAAGGGAAACCTCATCCTTTCCGTGAGGCAAGCTCTGGGCCGTCCGGAACTGCTCCTCCAGCAGCCAAATGCTTCAAATAAAGCTGCTCCTGCATCGAACAGGGTCTTCTGCTCCCACAGCCTCTTCCAGGTGATGGTCTCCGGCGCAGCACTGTAGCTGGGAGGTGCTGACCTAGATCGCCGGCGGCGGTCAGACCCACGTTAGCCGCGCTCGTCCTCTGGGGCTGCCGTGCCGCGCTGGCGCAGCACCGGAGCGCTTTCCCCCCGGCAGCGCTGTCCGCGGCGCTTACGAGCCCGTAACGGGTGTCGCTAATTACAGCCAGCAGTTGTAAGGCGCTGACAGGCACCTTAAAGCGTGGTTAGTGCGCCGTAAGGCACGACAACGCGTAGGCTCCGCTCCCTGCTGTAGGGGCTCCAGGCAGGCCGAGCGCAGCGCTCCCCGGGCCGCAGTGCAGTACAA